TTATGGTTTACCCATAGGCCCCTAAGTAGTTCCTTTTGGGGATTATCTTATAGGATTCTAAATATAAACCAAAAAGAGGAACTACTTAGGGATACGAGGAACGCACTGAATATGCATGCATGCATGTATGCATGAAGGTATGTGTGTATGCAGATATGTGTGCATGGAGGTATGTATATATGCAGATTTGTATGCAGGTATGTATGTACGTGTGTATGCACGCATGCAGGTAGGTATGTGTGTCTATACTGTATGTCTGTCTGTCTGTCCGTCCGTCCGTCTGTCTGTCTGTCTGTCTGTATGTATGTATGGATATATGTATGCATGTATGCATGCATGCATGTTTGCATGTATGCATGCATGTATGTCTGTATGCATGTATGCATGTATGTACGTATGTACGTATGTATGTACCTATGTATCTATGCATCTATGTATCTATGTATCTATGTATGCATGCTTGTTTTTTGTTTGAAAGGTTAAGGCCCTCCACCCCACCGCCCCCCCCTCACAAAACAAAAAATCAGGTTTCTTGTCGGGCTCCGGGAGTAGGACTATGAGGTGGAAATCGAAATCTGCGGAAATGGTGAGGCGTTCTAGGGAGGGGTTCGAGTCGTGCGGTTTGGGGGTTAGGGCTCGAGCTGTATGGGTTAGGCTTGTCTGCTTGTCTAGACAAGCTTGGAGGGGTAGTGTATCGTATTGCAACACTACCTCAGCCCCTTATAAACCCATAGGCACCCTTCTCTAGTCTAGACCATTCTGGGGTCCTCACAGGCTCTCCTTTCGCCGGCCCTTCACCCTGAACAAAGAGCCGTAAATTTTAAGCCCGAAACCCTAAGCCCCGGAAGGGCCCCAGACCATAAGCCGCTTTTGAGGCAGGAGGCCCATGCAGCGGCAGCCAGTCGGGGGCTGCGATGCCTCGAGCGAGAGGTGTGCGAGCTAGGGCATGAGGCTTCAGGGTTAAGGCTCAGGGCTTCGGGTTTAGGTGCAGGGGGTCATGGTTCCAGTGTTTACGGTTTGTGGTTTCAGGCTTGAGAGATTGCCTTTAGGGGACACGTGACTCAGAAAGTTGAGAAAGGTTCTGAATGGGGCAGCCGCGATTGTCACAATCGCACATTCCCGGTTGAATAGACATCACTGCTCCCTTATGGCCTCTACCAAAACCTCCTACAAATTCCCCCCCCGGCACTGTTCCCTTGTGACCTCTACATAAACTTACATAAACTTACCATAACAGACCCCACCCATACCCATTCTCCCCCTCCCCCCACCCTCTCACCCCCCAACCACCCCCCAGTGTGCGATACTGGACCTCTAAACCCTAACCCTAAATCCTCAACCCCAAAACCCTAAACCCCTAAACCCAAAACCCCTAAACCCTAAACCCGAAACAAAGCCCTGTTCAAACGACTCCAGCGCCAGGAGCCTTCTCGGGCCTCAGAGTCTCTGCATGTCCTCTTTAAAGGTAGCTTCCGGGATCCGAAGATATCACAGAAAAACTTAGTACAGTAGCTGGGTAGGATTGGGTAGGTATAACCTTTAACCTTTTTGGGTATTCTAAAATCCTGCCATAGTTTGAAAGGCTAGCCTTTTTTGGGGGTTAGGGCACTCAGCCCCTAAGAAACGAGGAGGTGCAAGGGGGCTTCAGATTTTCGGGTCATGGGAGCCCGGCAGTGAGAAACGGCACCGTTCCTGAGGGTTCGGGGTTAGGGGCTTTTTGGCTTCTGGTTTAGACATTAGGCTTAGGGTTTAGGATATGGACTTGCAGACAGCCAGGCAAGTAGTTTTGAGTGATCTTGGTAGCTGAGGAAGACTTTGATTTTTCACATGTGCGCCCAGGTGTTTATGCAGCAGCTATATGTTGACGAGTGCAAAACAAAACCACTCACTGGTCTCCCCCGCAGCTGTGACGTGCTCACGGCCGTCCACACCACAACAGGCCGTTGCTTGTGGTACCCAAGTTTTTCCATATCACTGCCATGGCGCTTCAGATGCTTGCCGTCATCTTGCTGCTTTGCGCCTCGGGAGTGCGCGCCATGCGCGCGACAGAAGCTGGGCGCCAATGGCAAAAAGTTTCAACTGCCGTAATCAGGGCTGGTTGTTGTAGTCATATATTCGTACAGACTACATACAGATGTTGATGGTATTGGGATGTCGGAAGGCAAGACCCAGGAAGACGACTTGGATTCCGATTTGGTCGACGCTGGAATCGATATTGTACCTTGGGCAACACTCGATAAGAAGCAGCGGGACGACTTGTGACTCGGCTGCGCCATGAAGGATGCAGAAGCTGCTTCGCTGGTAGCATGCTGCTTCTATCAGAAGTTTCTGACAATCATATTATGCTTGTTCAAGCTAGAGTCAGTTTGGGAATAAGCGTATAGAGACTGCAGGCTGCAGGCTGGCTTCAAGAACAACGCCTGCTACTGCAAGAAGGCTGGCCCCTGTCCTTAACCATTGGGTTTAGGGTTGTCAAGAGGGTGTAGAGTTTGGAGTATGCGTAGAGATAAGGATCTACGCCGCAGTGACGCCTGTGCATTTTCGGACTTCTTGGGGATGTTCAGTGCTCATGGGTAGGGAGATCCGGCGTCTAGTTTTGGGGCTTTCTGGGCTTTGGGTTCAGGGTTAAGTAGACTTGGACAGAAAGGGGGGGTACATCCCTCTAGAGGGCCTCCTCAACCCAGAAGGCTCAACCGAGGGTAAACTCGTCTAGACCTGAGAAGTCTAATCTCATTGGACCTTTAGCCCTGAACCCGGAAACATGATAGGCCCAAGAGGCCGACGAAACCCTAAATTTTTTTTGGCCCTAAATCTTGACCCCTCAACCGCAACTTTAAAGCTCAAGGCTATAGTCCTGACATAGCTGAATGCAGGTGAAGTCGGATGCAGAATGCCCGAGTGAGGAGGAAGGTGACCCGCGATGGCATCTTCGACGGGTCTGAGATGTGGGTTTCCGGTGCAGGCTTGATGACTAGGCTTAGGGTTAAGGGGTGAAGGAAATGATTGGGGTTTAGGATTTAATTTAGGGTTCAGGGTTTAGGAGGTTCAGTATTCGGATTTCGGTGTCGCAGTGTTGGTTTGTTAGTCGGTTCCAGTACTTTGTGTACAGGAAGGCATCTGCTGACAGTAACATCGAGACCCAAACCCTAAACCCTAAACATAGGACCATGCATGCTTGGGGTGCCGAAGTGTAAGGCTTCTTCTGAAGGCTTTGCCTATTGCAAAGCTCAGCAAAGGCGACACCGAGATGGGTGTCGAATTTAGGGATGATTTCGGGGTTTAGGGTTAGGAAACCCTGAACCCTAAACCCAATGCCCGCTGCTAGCTTTCATAGCACCACCTTTGAGGCTGCTCTTTGTGCTGCTCTGGGAGGCCTTCTTTAGGGGTGGTCGGGGGGGGGAGGGGGTTCGTGACCTGGCTCCCGCCGAAAGGGTGGTCTGGCTGGGAATTCGCGGTTAGTCGCCGTGCGCAGGGTCCTCGCAACCCTAGCCGCCCTAACCCTGAATCTGAAACTCTCAACCCTGCAACCTTAGACCCGGAAACCTAAACCTTGAACCTTAAGCCTTGAACCCTCAACCCGGACCCTCAACCCTGCAACCTTAGACCCGGAAACCTAAACCTTGAACCCTCAACCCGGTGTTGGAGGCACCTCTCTGAACATTTGCGGCTTCCGGCCCTATACATTTGGGCTTCGCTATACAAATGGGGGGGTTAGATTTTAGAGTCTCTTGCGTCTGTATTGTTGGTGTGCCTTTTCTTCTTCTGACTATTCCCAATCCCAAGCCCCTTCACAAGGCTGTCGTTGTTCCTGTGTGTGTATGTCACCAAGGTATCACGAAGTGAAAGGCGAAGAGACCAACCTTTGCTGCAAAATTGCGAACACCGGCTTCTTCACCTACGTCGGATGGTCCTACACGAAGATGGAGGGTAATTTTACTCTCTGTGAATCAGAGATCCGCCCAGTGCCTGCTACATCATGCTGCTGGTTGGACGGCAGCCGGGGCCTTTAAAGCAGCATTTTGGGTATTGGTATTTGGGGTCAAGGGCCAAGCAGCAGGGTCAAAACACGGACATACCTGTCGACTATAGGCGCCTAGTTGAATCAGAGCTACAGTATGTCCCAAGATTCCGTTCTTACTACAGTATTGGCTGAGGCCCCTATAGTAATGCGAGAAGTAGAGCCCTCGGCCCCATTCTTCGCCACTAAATCCCGAGCCTGGACACATTAACGAACACCATGTAGGGGTAAAGAGCCTATGCCCCATACAACCTGCATAAACCTTAATTCAAGAAGCACAATGAAACCAGGACTTGTTGCCAACCATGTGGGCATTCGGGTCAGCAGAGTCAGTGCAGAGCTTGAGGTGCATTGCATTCGGTCTAGGTTTAGGTGTGGAATTGGTATTTTGATGAGTATGAGTATCGGTATTCTTGCCATCAACACTAGTACTTGTATGATTCGCAGAATCCGCGTACTGTTATTACTGCTATTGCTGCTGCTACTGCTGCTACTACGCCGACAGCGACGATTACTATTGATCCTGCTACTACTGCTACTGCCACTAACACCACCACCAAGACAACTAGTACTGCTTCGACTACTACTACTCCCCTCCTCCTACTGCTGCTACCACTACTACTCCTACTATACTGCTTCTACTGCTACTTCTATTATTATTGCTACTACCACCACCACCACCACCACCACCACCACTACTGCAACGGCGATTTCTATTGCGTGCTGCAAACGGGCAAGGGCTGGGACCTGAAAGTTCAGGGTGCCGTAGGGGCCTTAATAATCAGAATATAGTATACTCAGAATAAGGAACCCCACAAAATAATACAGGTTATTGTTGAGGCCATAACATTACTACACAGCTCCCTAGAGCCGACTCCTTAATATAGAGGCTTGACAAGAATAATTACCAATACTCTCTTTTGGGGGTCCTTATGATCATGATAGCATAGTATACGCCAAGACCCTGTCCTAATTACTAAGGCTCCTACATGAAGGCCCAAAGCCCCGAGCCCCTGAACAGGTGGACCAGCACGCCTATTCGCAGAAGAGCCCAGTCGTTTATAAGAGCGGCTTCAAGTTCAGGCTTGAGGACCAGCGGCCCTTCGCCAAGAAGGGTTTTAGTCTTTGGAGTGAGGCTTGACACTGCGACCCCATCCATAGCCATAGGCTACGTCCACCACGTCCGGTGATTTCGATATGCAAGTTCAGGGGTTTGTTGTGCCAAAGATCCGGGTATCTGGATTTATAATGCGCCTGCGGCGGGATTATATATATATATGTATATATATATATATGTATATATATATATATATATTGATTGCAGCTGCCTGGGTTTATGTTGAGCTTTCAACAGGGATGAGTACGGGGCCCTTGGGGCCTAAGGGGTGGTGGGAGAGTTAGTGGTGTAGGCTCCGGGCGCCTGCAGATGCAGTACCACCTTTGAAGGGCGCCGGGCCGATCCTACGTTGGACCATTGTCTATTGCTGTCTCTATCGCAACTGCTGTTGACCGTCGGCATTGCAGTCCTAATGCTCAACAGTCTGTTGACCCAACAGTGGGTTTATGAGTGGAACTAAGTAGCCTAGAAACAACAGAAAACAGGATCTTAGAGCCTCAGTAACTCAGTAGCAGGACATCACCGGTGGCAGAGACTACAACAGCGCGGTCGAAGCTTTTGATGTGCGCCAGTTTGTGGAGTACAATCACGAAGCTGGTCGCTTTGACAAGCTGCAATGCAGCAAGACACTCTTTCGGGAGGAGCGGGAGGGAGAGTTTGATGAACCCCAAGCCCTAAGCAAAAAAATCCTGCCTACACTCTGCCGTTGCGGCCCTATAAACAAAGAACGCAGATGAGCAAAAGAGGAGCCACATTGCAGCAAAAAGGCAAGATTCCAAAGCTCAAGCACTTTAAACACCCTAGCTCTCAACCCTAAACCCCTAAACCCTATACCCTAAACCCAGCAGTCCATTCAACACCCAGAGGGGCTCCAGTGCCTGGTCGAATCAGCAGATTCAGTCGTGCACTTCGGGTTTGGGGTTCGATTCGGCGTCAAAGGGCAACCAGTAAGGAAGTCGGTTGCTGGGTGCAAAACCTGTGGCTTGAAACCCTGAACCCTAAACCCTAAACCCCCCTAAACCCTAAAACAAAACCCTAAACCCCCCTAAACCCTAAACCCTAAACCCCTCAAAACTCAGATTTGGACCTCCGACCTTCCGCCGGTTCGCATGTAGAGGAATCCACAAAAAGTCCTGCTCAATTTCCCACTTCAGGCTTACAGTCCCAACCGATGTGGGGGATACTTATATCCTATAACCATGATCGTTTCTATGTCTCCACCTTTGAAATTATACCCTACAACCAGAATAGTAGCTATACCTTTACTACAGAAACCCCACTTTCTACTACCTTGCTACTTCGGACCCTCTGGGAGTATTCCTGGCAAGGACCGCGGCTTTTGCGTGGTGCGAGAAAAAGCGGCCTCTGCATGCTGCTGCCACAAGGCCTCTTGCAGTAATATAGGGGTTTAGGGTTTAGGGGCCTAGACAATATTACCAACACTATTTTGGGGGTTCCTTATACTATACTTATATAGTATACTATACCCGTAAGCCCTATTCTAATTATTCAGGCCCCTACCGTAGCAGACTGGGGGCTGTTGGCACGTGGGTTCAGGGTGTATAGGGATCATGATTTGGGGCTTATAGGGTTTAGGATCTAAGGTTTAGGGTTAAGGATTCAGGGTTAATTAGGGGCCTCTGAATTTCGCCAAGTTTTTGTCGGTAAAAAAAATGGACTTATTATTTTTGTTATTTTATTATTTTTATGATTTTTATTGTTATTATAAGTTGTTATTATTACTATAAGAATAAGATTAACAATTGTTTGAACAGGCCCCAGGAAGTCTGGGGCTGCTCTGCGCGGAACGTATGGCGCGCCCTACACCCCATAAGCCCGCACTCCTAAAGTCAGATCCCAAGCACAAGCCATGAAGCCATGAACCCCAGAAGCCCCAAAACAACCCAAACCCTAAAAACCCTAAAACCCTGAAGCCATGAGCCAGAAGCCAAAAAACAACCCAAACCCTAAAAACCCTAAAAACTCTGAAACTTGAGCCCGGGTTCCAGGCAAGTCTGGTGGAGGCCACGAGGTGCTTGCCGGCACCGAAAGCGCCGAAGCAACAGACAGTGATAGTGTCCCTCGGCCACCAGGCTTTTGAGGGTGGTGTAATACAGAGGGTTTAGGGTAATGTAATTACCAATACTGTTTTGGGGGGTTCCTTACTCGAATAATAGTATAATATACCCACAAACCCTGTTCAAATTTTCAAGGCCCCAACATTAGGGTTCAAGGTTTATGGATTTTTAGTCTAGAAGCAAGAACAAATCTGAAGTAGCAGTACTACCTCTTGGGGTTCCTGATTAAAAAAATGGATAGCACCCTAAACCCTAAACTCACTCTACTACTTGGTAGGCCTCTGTGAGAGATCCGAACAGCCCTGGTGGCTAAGGCAGCCGCAGAGCCAGGTGCAGCCGATTTTAGGGTTTCTAAGGCTCCGGGCCCGGAGGGGCCCCTTAATTAAGGAATATACCTTAAATCATAATACTAAGGCCCTTATAATTTAAGGTATATTCCTTATTTAAGGGGTATTGGGCTCTCTGGGCGCCCGGAGGGGTGTTGTTTTTTATTTTTTTGGTTTTACGGTCGGTTTGCAGGGTGTGGATTCGAGTCACGAGGCTTCGAGCAGGGTATTGCTTCAGTTCAGAGAAACTAGAGGAAGAGTTTTTAACATTCAGGCATCGATGATTACATGGAGATGTGCGAGAGCAGCATGACCAATTGTTAGTTGTCTTGTTGCGCATGGGACAGGGCTTAGGGCTTATACGGCACCGGGATGTGTTTAGCTTTAGGGTCTAGGGTTTCGGTCTGCTGGAAACACTTTAGTCTGGCCATCGCTGTGGCACCTTGAGACCTGCTTGAAGTCGTGGACTTGGGGTTTGCAAGGCTGGAAAAGAGTTCCATTTGAAGCCCGAGGTAGTGGGGTACTTGCAGCTAAAAGCTTGCAGCTCACAGGTTTTGACGAGCACACTGCAGAAGCCGTAAGCCCTGATGCTGCAAAGCCGGCGGATTGACCAGGACCGTCGTCAGCTGACGGCAATGCCAAGACAAAGCTACATGGATGAGGACAATATGCCTAAAACACTCCGCTCGATAGATCCGGAAGCTGAAGACGACTTTGACACCTATGACGACGAGACTGAGATGGTTTGGACATGGACCAGAGTCCAGGCCCAGAAGCAGTGGACGAGTCACTGCTCGAAGAACTCGTCGTCTGGTGCCTGCATCGAAATGACTTATACTCGTCTTTGCCCTTATGGAAAGGGCCTCTACGAGAAGAGGTTGTACACAGGATCCACATACAGAGAGAAGCCGCTGCCCAAACAGGAGCACTTCAACGAGCTTGAATGGGTGGCTCCTATGACTTACGAGTGCCCTAGGGGGACCTGGCGAATCTATGATACTAACCTCAACAAATCGGTGCTGCCAGCGGGCTTACCGATGAAGACCGTGAAGCGCTGTGATTGCAGTGCCCGTAAGTAGGCAGACGCAAGCCTTCTGCGGAAAAAGAGCGAGCTCCTGGTTCTGCGCTTTACCCATAGGCCCCTAAGTAGTTCCTTTTTGGGATTGCCTTATAGGATTCTAAATATAAACCATAAAAGGAACTACTTAGGGGCCTCGGGGTGGGGTCTGGGTTGTGAGCACACAACACGCCCTAAACTTCATCCCTAAACCACGAAGAGGGTGTCGTTCTGTTCTTGGCGATGCCGCATCCTGATTTCAGCTCTGTCGGTGAATTAGCCAGCCCCTGGGCTTTGGGTTTAGGGGTTGAGGGTTTAAGGTTTAGCGTTTGTAAAGGTAGCTTACCTTCAACTTGGTAGCACGAAACCCCTAGCGCCGCCGTCTGTACATGTTCCCCCGACACTCCCATCCTGACCTTCACAAAGAAGATTGGCCGACAAGCTCATTGTTTGTGAAAACGTACAGTTTCTTGCTGTTTGTGTTGGTCTTTCAAGGTGTGCATTTAGGCTCTAAGGTCTTGGGCTTAGGGTTTAGGGTTTAGGGGTTAAGGCTGAACCAATCACACAGACTGAGTTGCTTTCACGAGAGGGAAATTCATGCCGCGCAGTTCCTGGAAATGGGTGCACTGAAAGGTACAATGTTCAAATTTCATCACTCGAGCCTCCCATGTAGTTTTTGTTTTTAAGCCCTGGACCCTAGAGTGTTTGATTGAAGGAATTCTCGGTTTACAGCGCTCGTGTCAAGGTTCACTGACCCGGCATTCGGATGTTGTAGGTGTGAGGTACGGATTTAGGCTTTAGGCTTCGTAGGTCAATGCCCACACCCTTAAAACCTTAAGCCCTAAACCCAAAAATGGCCTGCAGGTTGATGAAAAGGGTGCTGTACTATTGGGGGACGGCCTAAAACGAGACATTTAGAGAACTACCCCTCTGTTTTGAGCTATCTTGGGGCACCTGCATGACGAGTCTGGTGATGGTGTCATTTTCAGCAGATCGCTGCATGGTCTGTGTAAAAACCTTATGTAGACGCTTGCGGCTGAAATGTTGCCGGTTTCGGTGCGTCTGCGTGGCGCGTCGTCTTTTGAGATCTTCTTGGCTGTGACAGCATACTTTGATGCTAGTTCAGAGCTTCAAGGGATGATTCCATTCCGACGGGAACCCTCTTGAGGCCTAGTTACTAAGCATATACTACATAGGTACACGGAGCCTTACCTACAAAGTCATACACTATCCCTTTTCCTCGCGTACCTAGTTTATGGATAGGATCTGTGTTTGTGGAGAAGTAGGTACTCGGAAAAAAGGTAGGGTATGACCCCGTAGGTACCCTAAACCCTGAACCCTAAACCCTGAATCCTAAACCCTGAATCCTAAAACAAAACCCTGAACCCTGAACCCGAAACCCTGAACCCTAAACCCTAAACCCTGCACCCTAAACCCTGAATCCTAAACCCAAGATGCGAGGCATGGCCCGAGCTGGGCCCCTTGCGCGCGGCCCTCCTTTGCCGGCGCAGCGGGCGGACTTCCGAGGCCTGGGCGTTCATAGAGAGCCCTAAACCCCTGTTTTGGGAGTTCCTTATAATTATAATGTGGCGGCCCAAATAATGGACCCCCCCCCGTGTCGAACCGGGGCGCCTCTGGGTGGGCTGGCTCAGGACCTGGGTGTCTGGGTGGCTTTGATTAAGCTAGAAGGGAATTGAGGGGGCCGAGGGGTTTGGGGG